AGTTTTCCTCAATTATTATTGCAAGATCGTCAATCTTTGGTGGGTCCAATTTCTTGTGCCATTTGCACCGTCTTGAAAGGCATGGAAGGTACTCGTGCACCCATCTCTTCCAGAAGCTGTCTAGGAGTGATCTAACACGAGCTAATTGTCGTTTACACAGTTGGTCTTCGTTTAGGTTGAATTTGTAAGCTTCTCTTAGAAAATGGTTTGGTGTGATTGGTTCGGGGTCATTGGGATCCAGAGAAACATGTGTGAGTGGGCGAGAATTTATTATAAATTCAACGCGAACCATGAATGTCTTAAGCTCTTCGTCTTTTGGGTACTGGCAGCGCATAACACTCCTTAATGCGGTCTTTACAGACCTAACAAGTCTTTCCCAGCAGCCTCCCATATGTGGTGCTCGCGGGCAAATAAAATTCCACTTTATCCCGTAGTTCACCACGTCTTTTTGGATCTTTTCATGTTTGAGTGACTTACAGCGTTTCTAAGTTCCCTATCTGCAGCTACAAAGTTTGTGCCATTGTCGGAATATAATTCTGAGGGAACTGGTCTTCGGCTGATGAATCGTTGAATCGCCATTATACAACTCTCTGTGTTAAGAGAATGAGCCGTTTTGATATGAATTGCTCGAGTCGAAAAACAGGTAAATAGGACACCATATCTTTTCTCATGTCTGCGGCCAATAGTAACTTCGATAGATCCGAAATAATCCACTTTAGTGTAGAAGAATGGATATTGCACTTTTGAGGTCCTTAACTGTGGTAGTGCAGCCATCTGAGGAGGATAAGGTTTGGCATTGTCTATGCTACATCTCATGCAGCTCCTTTGAACTTTCTTGGCGACTGATTGTACGTTTAAGATCCAGAACTGTTGTCTAGTCATATTGATAACAGTCTCGATGCCCTGATGGAAACATTTCTCGTGAAACATTTTTACGATTAGTTTAGCTGTATGACTTTTGCCGTCTAAAATGATAGGAAGGATGCTTTTGTTCTTCGCTTATTTCTGGTGAACTATTTACTACTCGACATTCTTATTAGAGACTGATCAATGAAGGGATTTAAAGAGAATATTCTACTGGTTTTTGATAGTGGTTTGTTCTTCAGCAGTAAATTATTTTCTTCAATGAAGCTTGCCTTTTGAGACATTGATATCAATGTATGTTCAGCTTTTTGAATTTCCTCTGGTTGAAGTTCTGGTATATTTCCAAAATCTACGTTGACAGTTTTCAGTTTCTTTTTGGTGGTGGCGGTAGTATGGGGCCTTAGCATGCTAATAAATCTGTGTACCCATGCTAACACACGTGTCACTTTTTTCCAAGAAGAAAAGTTTTCAACTGTCAGAAGAGGGGGGTTTTCATCACTGTTCACAACTCCGACGAATTTCTTCTTTCTTTCTTCATTTTCCTTGACTTGTAGTGTGGACGGTTGTATTGACCAGTCACTCGATTCTCGCATTAGAAATGAGGGTCCGTGGATCCATTCAGAATGCATGGCTGAAGTAAATGTTTTGTTACTTCTAGTTGCAACATCTGCCGGATTCTGTTTCGATGGAACCCATCTCCATTCTTCGGGTTTAGACAAATCTTGAATTTCTCCAATTCTATTGGAAACATACTGTTTGAATTGTCTAGGGTAGGATTTCAGCCAATGCAAAACTGTTACAGAATCTGACCAAAATATCTGACGAGAAATAGTTAAGTCAATGTCTTTTATGATGCTACAAGCTATTCTGCATCCAAGAACAGCTGCTTGGAGTTCTAGTCGGGGAATGGTTGTTTGTTTGAGTGGTGCTACTTTGGCACGTGCCATAACAAGCATGGTCTTGTAAGTACCTCTGGCACATCCATGGCGTAGATATGAAACTGCTGCATAGGCCTCTTCACTAGCAACAACAAACGTATGGAGTTCAACTTTTTAAATTGTTTTGACGTTAAAATAGCATCGAGGTATGGTGAAGCTCTGCAGACATTTTACTTCTTGTAGCCAGTCTTGCCATTTTTTACCAAGTTCTATCGAAAGAACTTCGTCCCACGTTATGTTTGTTCGCCAAATGTCTTGAACAAGTATTCTCCCTTTTATAGTAGTAGGTACAACTAATCCCAATGGATCGAAAATGGACATAGCTCCTCTTAAAACTTCACGTTTGGTCGGATACCTTGTTTCAACTAACTGTACCTTTTCGGCGTTCATGTGAAATGAAAAGTGGTCAGTTTCAGCATCCCACCACATTCCGAGGATACGTTCTGTAGGTAGACGACTTTCAGGTTGCAGCTGTTTTGTAGAGTTTGCCTTCAAATCTCCCGGCATTTCAAGTTAAAATGTCTTTTGAATTTGACAACCAGTTACAGATATTAAAACCTCCGGACTTGTGAATTTCTGTTATCTGTTGTATTCTAAGTCTAGCTTCTTCTTCTGTATCAGTAGAGTCTAGTAGATCGTCCATGTATTCACTTGAGAGGATCGCTTTACTTGCTTCTGGGTAAATATGTAGAAACCTCTTGGCGTTGCTGTTTACTACATACAAGGCAGTACTCGGAGAACACGTTGATCCAAATATCATTGCTTCCATGATATAGGTATCTGGTTTGTTGTTCGGATCTTCTCTCCATAGAAACCTTTGCGAATCGACATCTTCTTTTCCGATACGTACTTGATGAAACATTTCTTGTATGTCACCTGTGATCACAAATTTTCTTAATCTGAATTTGAGAAGTACGGCTGGCAGAGGGTTCAAAAGGTTAGGACCACTAAGCAAACCATCATTGAATGATACACCATTTGCTTTAGCAGCTGTGTCAAATACTAACCTCGGTTTTTTTGGATTTATTACCCCAAAATGAGGCAGATAATAAGTCCGGTCATTTATTACATTAGCTTCGTCATCACGTAGTTTTCTGATGTAACCTTTTTCTTCATAGTCAGTGATCTTGGCCTTGTATTTGTTATGAAAGTTTTCGTCTCTTGCCATCTTTCTTTCAATACCCTTAAGTCTTTTCAACGCATTATCATAGCTCAGTGGATATTTAAAGTCTTCTCACTTCCATAGTAGGCCGGATTCATACCTATCCCCTACTTTTTTTGTCGTATCTTCAAAAATCTTAAGGGCTTTTTCGTCTTCAACTGATTTTACATTATCATCTTCTACTAGGGACACGCCATAATTCTCGATTTCAAAAGAATCTTTGATAATATCATGAAGTTTTTCACTTTCAAAAGACGTTAAAGTGAATTGACTATCTACTCGCCCAATGTGTTCATGACATTTACCGTGCAATGTCCAGCCTAAACGGCTCCAAGACAAGACTGGAGAGTTGGGAGGACCTTCAATTATTTTCCTTGCTAGAATAAGGTCACAGTTGTCTTGACCTATAAGGATTGTAGGTTTCAAATTTGCTGACAGTAAAGGTTGACCAATTGACCGTAAATGAGACCACTTCTTTTTCAGTTTGACAGTATCCACCATTTGTTTTGGTAAGTCCAATGGTGACTGGGTTCGTACATTGTTTAATGTAAACACTTCGTCCTCATATAACCCTTTAATTTTAACTTTCACAGTCATGGATGTTGGGTCAAAATGTTGGGTTGCATTGGACCAGCATGTCGTGAGGGGTTCAATACTTACCGTTGACGCCTAATTTATCGGCTGTAGCTGAATCCAACAAAGATACTGTTGACCCGTCATCTAAGAGTGCGTAAGTGTCAATCTGACAACTTGGGCCATATAATGTCACTGGACATACTCTTAGTAGAACACAGTTGTTAACAACATGACTGCTAATAATTTTTTTATTTTGCGGTTCGCTGTCCTGTTTGGGAAACCTCTCAATTTTGTCAGTATGGAGAAGACGATGGTGAAACAACCTGCACCCATTTATCCCACAAACCTTTTTTACTTTACATTTTAGGAGCTGAAAAATGAAATTAAATGAAATGAAATGAAAAATTCTTTATTTTACCAGGCAAAGTTAGGGCCACATGGCCCTCTCTTACACTTAACCTGACAAACTTAAGTATAAATAAATAAAAATACAATGAATTTTCCTAATCTAATATAAATATATATATTTAACACATCAAGAACACGTTAAACAAAAATTCAATTTAAAAAATAGTAATTATTATAAATAGAATATATACAAAAGAAAACACATTCACACTCTCACACGCACACACACCAGCAATCGCGCAAAGAAGCAGAAGCCCTAGGACACGCCAGCCGAGACCATTTGCTCAAAGTAGAGATTTTTTAGTGCCGCCACAAACTGGGAGCGTTTATCAAGGGATTTAATGTGTAGGGGGAGCTGGTGACGTCGAAAGCAGAAGAAACATAGTTTCTTTTCGACAATCATTTTCCATCTCTGTGATACATCTGCCTTCCTAAAAACTCCACAGTGGTCATTTTCGTGGCTGTCGAGACAAAACATACAGTTAAACTGTTTGTCTTCGGTAGAACTGGTATAAACCGGCTTTATGTCAGTTTTCTTCTGCCAGAGTTTCTCTTCTGTAGGACGAAAGTAAATACTCAGGATTGAGCATTGCTTTTCCAACCAAGTGGAAAACTCCTTCAAGTTGGGACTGCTTAGAGCATTATTACTTACATGCTCAGCCCACCTGTATTTTAAACTATAGGGAAGTTTGTTGAGACATTCATATAGTAAGTAAGGATTTAATACATAATTTTCTAGATGTAATAATGACTCTGCTGTAGCAGTAAAATTCAAAATATTTGTCGAAAACTCAACAAGATTTGTATTGTCGTCTTCCTTAACAGAAATAAAGAAAAATAAAGAAAATAAAGAAAGAATAAAGAAAAAAAATAAAGAAAGAAAAAATAAAGAAAAAAGAAAGAAGATTAAAATAAAGAAAGAAGGCAGGCATAAATTAAATATATTAAAGAACACAAATCAATGTGTCGATATGAAACATATTACAATACTTATTGGTCTATTATAAGTATTTTTTTTTTTACTATTTGATGGAAAGTTTTTTATGTTTTAGGGAAACCCTGTCGAGTAAGGATTTCATCTTTTCTTCAAAATCCATTCCAAAACATCTCACTTAACAAGGACGTATTCGTCAGTCGCAAAACCTTCAAGCCGATTAATTACCGATTAGTGTGGTTGTACATTGTTGTAGGTGATGGTAAAACAGTTTCATTTTAATGTAAATTTGTGTATATATTGCAACAGTCCTCTAATTTTAATTGTATTAGCTAAAAAATTTAAGTAATAATTTAATGCTCCATGAAAACAACTACTATTTAGAGTATCGATATGAAAATAAATTAATTTTTAATTAACTGTAATGGTAGTGTATTTAGAAATCCACAGTATTTTGTGTTTATTGTTAATAGGATTAGAATGAGCAAATATATATCCATCATTAATCAAATAATTTTGTTTTGTTTCCTACCTTATATAGAGTATTAAATGTTTTCAAACGACAGAAGAATCTCCCAACACAGTTTCAATCTGACATTTTAAGAGTAATTCACAATTATTCCCAAGTTAAAGTCACGACCATGTTTGTGACTGGAACTGATGACAAGACAGACTGACACCTGAGACTGATGGTGGTTGCAGATTGCATTGCTGAGAGATATTTTACAATTGGGATTACTATTATTCGAGGGGGATATTCAGAAAGTAAGGAACGTTTCTGTCTGACGCTGTCAGAAGTACGCCGATTGCGCACATTCTTGCACAGACGTGTTTGTGTACTCAGTGATTGCTCAGCCGACACAGAGCAGAAGTCTCGTTGTGGTGCCCCGTTGTTGCAATATTTAATTTTAAAAGTGTATTGCAATTGAAAATTCTACTAATTGTGAGGTACGGTAATAGTTTTTGATGGGTATCAACTGAAAACCTATAGAAATTCATCATCAAGTGTGTAAAGTGTTTGGAAACAACGTAATAAATGAAATTCTTGGTCGGAAATGGTTCATTCAGTTTCAAATTGGCCAAACTAAGGTTAACATCTAAATTTTGTTTTTGCATGACAGTGCCACAAATTCCACACACAAGGAATTTCTCATTCATTCATTCAAATGGGCCATTTTCGCTTAACTACAGTCCAAACCAAGATCACACTAAATAAACAGGCGGTAATGCCATTGACTATACACCTCTACAAATAGTAGAGGTGTATAGTCAATGGTAATGCTCCTCAGGCATGACGTCATCGTAGGCGACGGCAATGACGTAATTTTTGTTTTTTGTGATCAGCTGCTTATTTAATTTTTTCTTGGAAAACAAAAATATAACTAAAAGTATAACATTACATCATTACCGGTGCTTGTTCTAATCTTTTCTTAGAAAACAAAAATATAACTAAAAGAATAACATTACGTCATTGAGGTCATCTATGATGACGTCATGCCTGAGGAGCATTACGGCTTGTTTATTTAGTGTTGCCTTGGTCCAAACCTTGGTCAGAGTGACTTACACTTGATACAAAAAAATGAATGCGTAGTTAGCATTACAGAGCTTTGATTACGACAATGATCTCAATTATCATTCGGTGACTGCGCTCGCAGGCGACAAAACTTTACCAAAGCTAGTCTACTGCTGTGATAAGTGACTAAATAATTTGTTTGGTGACAATGGAGAAAAGTAGTATTTTAATTGTAATTCCAATTGTATATGATATAATTTTTTCTCATAGTATTTTAATTTTATTTCAAAACATTCATTACTTTCTGAATATCCCTTGTCATTCCAACCAATTATTCAGATTCTCTGTGTCCATCAAGTAAAAGAAGAAGTCTCTGCTTAGTACAAAATACATTTCCATCTATTAATATAAAAAATTGTTACATATTGTTAATGAGTACACCTTCATTTGGCTGCACTGTGTGCATACACTTGGATGTACTGTGTGAACTATCTTGATGCTGACAGTAATACCTGTTTTGTTAATGTCCTTCCCCTGTAATAAAAAAATTATTAAAAGTAAAGTAAAACGGATTATGTCCATGTCAAACTCATCTTGGCCAAAGCTGCCTAGGCAATTAAACAATAAAGTGAACTAGGCAGTTAAAAAGCTCAGGACAAAAGAAATGGGACAGAAAAAATGGTTGGTGTGTTAACATTTTTGTAGTTGTTAGCAAACTTGTTGAAGTAAGCTTTTGCAGAAAGGAATTTTCCTCCAAAATTTTGTAAGTCTGTTAAAAACTTGATTCGTATATGTGTTGTTTTTTTAAACAATTAGGAAAACCAAGTAGTTTTTACTCTGATCTGACTTTCAGGCTCCGCCCCAGTGGCTCTGGATTTTCCCATGTCAACCTTATGATTTTTTATATTTAAAAGTAGTTTAGTTTGTTAATTAATCTTATAGCCCAGTCAACAAAGCTCAAAATATGTCCCTCAGCGGGAAAAAATGGTGTAGTCCCGGATTTTTGCACAGTTGTAGGGGATACCCTTCTGAACAACATACTAAAAGTCCTGACTGATGGGGTGTGAGCTATGGGGGGGAGGGGGTGTAAATGTACAATTTTTCGGTTTTCTGTAAATATCTCAAAAACGGTGCCCTCTAGCGGTAAAATGTACATATACAAAATTGAAGAGCATTAAATTTCCAACAATAATGCTCATTACATCGTGTTCCTAAAATCAACACTTAACGAGATACATGGGTCATAAGAAAAAAAAAAACATTCAGAGTAACTAGTATTATTGTGGTAAAGTGATTGTTTTATACTACATCAAGTTATATAAACTGATAAAAATGTGCTAAATACTCGTCTATGCAGTACAGCTGTTGAAAAAATTGAGGGGAGAGGAAGTCGGGCCGGACTGGAAGCCGAGAGACCAAACAGTGGTAACCGTAATAACATACTGTAATATTAAAACTAAAATAAACTTGCAGAAAATTTTATTACACTTGTCTATTAACCCAGTAACCTAACACATTTTACCTTGCATGAAATGGGGTAGTAGGTTTCTTTTTTTTACGTTGTTTGTAATAGTACCGAGATGCTGAATCCAAATTTTCGACCTCGGCGACCTTCCGTATCACCTCCAAAAACCTTAAAAATCAGCGGAATTTCGCACTATTTTTACGTTTGTCCGATTTTGACCCTGAAGCATCACTTTTTCATAAAAAACTACCATAATCATTTTTAAAGTAAATTAGATTACCTATAATTTAAGACCAAAATGATTAATACAGACCTAATAGTTTTCAAGATATGGCACAGCAAATAATAGGCACCTAAATAAAATTAACAAATTTTGAACTTTTTTAAGTTCGGCTAACGTTAACCCTTAAGCATAACTTTCTCATTATTTTTCATTAAAACAACCATAATTACTTTAAAACTTCATTAAATTGCCCACAATTTAAGACCAGAATGGTGATTATAGGCCTCACACATTGAGAGTGGAATTGTTGGAGGGAAACTGTCAACTGTCATATGGCTAGAGATATTGGCAAGGAAGCGATGTTGAGAGTTTTATGAGGGAAATATGAATAAGTCAGATACAAAAGGAAGAATTAAGTAGTATCTCTTTCTTCCGAAGTTAATACTATGACTGTTGGCAATATAAAGGTGACTATTGACCCTCTCATACTGTTTCACAGGCCATGCGTTCTGAAGCAGTCGGATGAGGAACTAAAGCACTTCTTTACGCATGGATTTTCACCATTACCTCAATCTCAATCGTCATAATTGATGAATGAAAACTAAATTATAGTTCAAACATCCAAACGTCTCCAGTTAGTCAGACAAGTCAATCTTCAACTGATACCCCCCACAGGACGAGTCCATGTACAAAGGTACAAGGGTCATCTAATCACAGACGCCGTCACTCTCGGTGTTCTCCAACCGGCTCCCGCGACAATGCAATTAAATAAATACCTTTCGTCATAGGCCTGGGTTCTATCAATTACTATACAAGTCAATGGTTCTATCCACGAGAACCATTTATTGGAACAATGTACGTGTGTGTGTAGATAGATATGATAGATTGGTTTCCAATAATTTTTTTTTAAATAAAACTTACAATCTGTTGTTGAAATGAAAAAATTTGTTTATTTCTTTATATGGTTCTTTTATAAAATTTGACCTAATTGAATCGCTTGAAACTTAAAATACAAGTATTATTTACATTAAAGGTATTGCATTCTGGAAGAACTTCAAACAGTACCAAGGACGTCCCATAAGGATCTCTGGGGAGTATTTTTATTTTACAGGGCCCACTCAAATATTTTTTAACACCAAGCTTCCACTGCCATAGCTCTGTTTTATATTATTACTTTCGTGTCGTAAATGCAGCAAGAGATAGCTGGAGAGCTGAGTGTCTAGGCAGAGCGCGTACTTCAGCATCATTCTCAATACCTCGTCGTTGACTTTGACCTTGGCAACAATAGCTTCTTGGAAACTGGTTTAGACAACCGAACCATTTCTTGGATAATAAAATGTAGAGGAGAACTTATAGATCTCAACTATAAACCGTGGATTGTCGACAAAAACCACAAATGTTCCTTGTGTAATTTAAACGAGAATGAATCTGCTTTACACTTTGTGGCTAGTTGCCCGGTGTTCAATGACTTGCGACTCTTGTATTTTGGTAAACAAAAAATACAATATGAGGAGTTTGTGGATTATTTGAATGGGAAGGATTGGCGGGGCCTTGGAAGTTTTTTAAAAATTGCATGGAAACGTAGATGGGAGTTAGTTAGGGAATTTAATTTTTAAAATTTTGTATTACAATATGTTTAGAGTATACATATATGTGTATGTATGCATACATGTGTATGTGTATATATGTATGTATATGTGTTGCATTAAGAAGTGTTATTTTATTTTGTTTTAGTGCTTAGTATGTTGATTATGTGGAACAATTTTATTTCATTAATATTGAATGGACATTATGAGGACATTATGCCAACCCAGCAGACGGTCGTATGACCATTGTTGTATGTGCATGAATCAATTTATCGTACCCATTTCATGTAGCCTACTGTACATAATATGTATTTAATAAAGCACTTTCTATTCTATATTCTATTCTATTACTTTCCAAGTTCTTCCAACCTAGGGGCAACCAAGATTTGTAAAGAATTCACTTTGAGAGCATTGCAAGGAGTAAATATATTTAAATACAATATTTAAATATATAAGTCTATATTTTTTATTTTTCTTTACATTGGTTACACTGTAAACCTAAGCAAGAAGCTGCAAGGAAACGATTTAGATCTATCTTCTGCAATCACACATGCTGAAACGGTAGCCTACTTACAAGTTTGAAATCCATAAGAAAAAATGTGGATCAAGAATTTCGTTCATTGTTTGAAGAGGCTACCCAAATCGCAGACAACTTTGGATCTTCAATCTCGATGCCTCGAACAGTTGGCAGGCAGGTAAACAGAAGCAACACACCAGCAGAAACCCC